TCCCCACTTCTGACCCCATCAGAGAAAGAAAACCTATAGTTCTTTCACGTCCCCTGGCTGAGGGGCTCCCCGGCCAGGCCCGCCGCCCTGCCCTGTTGTCCCTGCACTGTTGTCCCTGCACATCTGGGATTTGTCATATACCTTCCTGGGCAAAACCTTGGTTCTTGCTCTTAGTTTTCTGTTTGGTCATGGCTCCCCCCAAGTACCCAAAATGAGCACAAGTGTTAGATTTGGGCCAGAACATGCTGGAACGCAGCAAGAAAGCATCCAGGAGTCTGTTGACATCAGATGTCTCCATTTTCATCTGCTTTGTGAAGACCCGTGACCTTGACATTAATTTTTTATTCTTTTTGACCTTGAAATTGTGAGTAAGTTTTGGCGCTGAGCAGAGGCTCCGGCCTGCGTGCTGTTTCAGGGCACTAACACCATTTCAAGCCAGCGTCTTGCTGCTTGGCGCAGTCTCCTCCTGCGCCACGTGCACTGCGCTCCACCAGGGCAGAGCGCCTACCTGTTTGTAACCTGGCAGGCCTGGCTCAGGAGCCGGCCGGTCACCTCCTGTTGCTGTTCCCTTCCTGCACGTTCCCTTCTGTCCCTCATGCTGGGTGCAGTGAGCCCAGTGCCCGCAGCCTGGCAAGGCCCCACGCGGTTAACAGAGAGGAGCTTTACAATACCGCAGATTGACGCGTTCAAACGTTCCAAATTACAGGCAGAAGAGTAACTGAAAACTACTCTGAACTGGGCGCCAGTGGCTTCTACCGGTAATCCTAGCTACTCAGGAGGCTGAGCTCTAAGGAGTATGGTTTAAAGCCAGCCCCGGCTGGAACGTTCATGAGACTCACCAGGTGAACCACCAGAACACTGGAAGTGGTGCTGTGGCTCAAAAGGTAAAGCGCTAGCCTTGAGCAAAAGAGCTTAGGAATAGTGCCCAGGTGCCAAGTTCAAGCCCCACAACTAACAAAACAAACAAAAATTACTCTGAGCTAGTGATTATTGGGCCTTAACCACATACTAGACCAGGTTATCTTTGAAGAAAATTGGAAAGTCCTATCCTAATCTGATTCAAGATAATTTTGGATATTTTAATAATTGCAGCAATCAAAATGTAAGTACATGTACAGTTAAACATCTGGGATTACTTTTAGTCTCTACTCAGTTAGCTAAATGAGGAAAACCATAAAAAAAGCCTTCAGGAGCTCTGGGCATGGTAGCTCACGCCTGTAATCCCAAGCTATCTGGGAGAAGTAGGCAGGAGGATTGGGGTCTGGTTATGTTATTTAGGGTCTAGCTTGAAATCACTCATGGTTTTTATACACTACTACAAATAGTATTTTCAAAAACTTTTTTCTTTTGCTTATGGGGTTTGACTGAGGACCTCATACGTACTGGGCTGAGGTGCTATCATTAAGGAATGCTCCTACAAATTGTTTTTCTAAATCACAGGAATATCATATTTGGTGACCTGAAGCTAGTTGAAAGAGAGATTCTTTGTAAACCTCCACGCTACTAACATTGTGTTGGTTTTCATGAAGCATGAAATAGTTGAGTTTATGGACACATTGTTTTGTCACTGGGGAGAGATGGATTTTGACTGTCTTTTATTGTACCTGTTTCACTGAGTTCAAACACCAGCACTGCCCCCGGCCCAAGTCAAAAAATGCCAAGAAATGTGGAGGATATGGAAAGAAAGGAACTCTACACCAGTGGTGGGAGTGTAAGTCAGTAGAGCTGTTACAGAAAAAGTGGTGGATCCTCAGAGCACTAAGGCCAGAACTGTCGCTGGATCCTGCCCCACCTCTGAGCATACAGAGCCCCAAGGGAAGTGGAATTGAACCCATCTGTACCACCATGCTCATCGCAGTGCTATTCACAGTAACCGAAACATGGCAACATCATCACGGTCTGTCAGTGGATGACTAGATGAGGAGAGTGTGGCACACATCTGGAATGTTCCTCAGCCTCCAGACAACACAGACAAGCCTGGAGGACATCACATGAAGGGAAGGCAGGCCGATGTGCATCCGGCTCAAAGCCAGCCCAGGCAGGGAAGTCTGTGAGACTCTTAGCTCCAGTTAACCACCAAAAAAAAAAAAAAAAGCCAGAAATGGAGCTGTGGCTCAAGTGGTAGAGTGCTAGCCTTGAGCACAAAAGCTCCGGGACAGTGCTTGCAGTTCAAGCCCAGGACTGGCATAAAAACATAAACAAACAAAAAGTTAAAGTGAGAAAATGGGTAGGGTATGTGAGTTCTTTACTTTTGTAAACCCAAATGATCTTAAAATTAATGTTATTTAAATATAAAATCTTACAGAATAGTGTCTGGTCCTAGTAAATGTGATTACGTTGAGATACCATGTGTGTACAACCTGCGTGTGCAGAGCAGGCGGGGTGTGACCTGCAGAGGGCAGTGTTGGGTCACATTCTTGCCAATCTGGAAGTAGACGGCGTTTCCTTTTTCACTGTAAGACCTCTATTTGTACTCATTTTTCTTTAAAAAATTTTAAACCCAAAAGGAACATTGGAGTTAACTGGCAGGCTTTTTGCGGTGTGTTAGTTTTATTTAGAAGGATTTGTTAAGCAGGGAGAGCATGCAGTTTTCACCTCTCCCTGGGCTGGTGGAAGGTGCAGGCAGCGTGTGTGTGTGTGGGGGGGGGGGGGGGGGGAGCACCGTCCGTGTCCCCGGCAGCGTGTGTGTGTGTGTGTGTGTGTGTGGTGAGCACCGTCCGTGTCCCCGGCAGTCTTCGTGGTGGTCTTGCTGCTCTGGGGCTGATCTTGGACAGGCTGGGAACGGTGGAGGACTGGAAGACTGGGGAGCGTGAGGAGGGCTGGGCCTTGTAAGCGTGGCGGACAGGGAAGGAACCCTCTGGAGGGTTCTGGAGCAGATCTCCAGGGCCATCAGGATGGGCACGTTAAGATTATTGCTCCACAGGTAACAGAGCATTGCTTTTTCTTCTTGTTGGCGAGACCGGGGTTTGAATTCAGGACTTCACTGCCCTGAGCTATGCGGCACAGAGCGGTTGTGATTACATGCGTGGGCAAGGACATGAGTGCATTTCTTATCAAGCACTGTTGCCTCCCCCCCTTCTTTTCTTGCATGGGTTGCTTTGGCCTTTAAGAGACTCTTGGAGCTGGGAACTGCTCACACATTACCAGGGACAACTGAACGTGACGCCTGGAGTTCATTGGAGACAATTGTCATAGGCTCAAAAGTTTCTGGGACATTCTGCCTTTAGGTGGCTGCATTTCTGCTGAGGGCAGGCGCCGGCCTGGTAGAAACATTGCAGTGCAGTTATCTCTTGGACGAGTGTGTTTCTCCCAGTCAGCGGCTGCCTAGATTTCTTATTTTCAGTCCACACAGTGAGTCTTTGGAGGCCCATCTCTTGCATTGGGATCTACAAGCTCGAAGAGGATCTTCAGCAGGGACTGGAAAGTTCCTAGCAACCCACGAACAGCCTGCCGTGAAGGCGGCGGCCCCCGGGCTGTGTTGGGTGCTCACAGTGTACGGGTGCTGGCTTCGTTGCTTCTCCTCACTGGGCTGGAACACAGTCCCGCCCCAGCGTGCCACCGCTGTCTTACAGGGGTTTGAGGTCCAGTGTGCTTACGAGGCTGTGTTCTGCCGTGGGGAGAGGTGACACGGCCATGGGTGCCAGTCACGGTCTGGGGACACGTCTGCCCTGCCCCCTTCCCCCTGACCATCCTGTGCAGCGCTATCTCTGCCCGCAGCCCCCACTGCAGCCCCCCCCCAATCCACATGTCCATTGACCCTCAGGGACTTCGGCGGTTCTCAGGGGACCCACCAAAGTCAACCAGAGCCATGGCCACGGGTGAGGAGGCCCCGCGCACGAGGTCCGGGCTGCCCAGCCGCCTCCTGCTCCTCTGGCTGCCTCCCCTGACCCTGGGCCCCGGGGCCCGGTGGGGACTGGGGACGACGGGACGTCTCTTCCCTGCTGCTTGCGCACGCCTGCTACTCACCCAGAGCAGTTGGCTCAGGGCCGCTGCCTCGTGACTTCCTGGTCCAGAGGTTCCCCCCGTGCACACCTGTGGGGCCACGCCACACACGGCCGCACACGGCCGCACACTGCCTCACACCGCCGCACACCACCGCACACCACCGCACACTGCTGCACACGGCCGCACACCGCCGCACTGCCTCACACCGCAGCACACTGCTGTACACTGTCGCACACCGCCGCACACTGCTGCACACTGCCTCACATGGCCGCACACCACCGCACAAGGCCACACACTGCCGCACACCACCGACACTGCCGCACACGGCTGCACACTGCTGTGCACGGCCGCACACTGCCGCACACCGCCATACACTGCTGCACACTGCTGCACACCGCTGCACACCGCCGCACACCGCCGCACACCGCCGCACACCGCCATACACTGCTGCACATCGCTGCACACTGCCGCATACCGCCATACACTGCTGCACACTGCCGCACACCGCCGCACAGTGCCGCACACCGTCATACACTGCTGCACATCGCTGCACACTGCTGCACACCGCCATACACTGCTGCACACTGCCGCACACTGCCGCACACCGCCATACACTGCTGCACACTGCCGCACAGTGCCGCACAGTGCCGCACACCGCCATACACTGCTGCACACTGCTGCACAGTGCCGCACACCGCCATACACTGCTGCACACTGCTGCACACTGCCATACACTGCTGCACATCGCTGCACACTGCCGCACACTGCCGCACACCGCCGCACACCGCCATACACTGCTGCACACTGCTGCACACTGCCATACACTGCTGCACATCGCTGCACACCGCCGCACACCGCCGCACACTGCCGCACACTGCCGCACGTGCGCACTGCCATGATGCGCCCAGGAGCGCACCCGGGTAGTCGGAGGCAGGAGGATCTAGCGCTCAAGGCCAGCCTGCGCTGCAAGGCCAGACCCTGGGTCAAGAAAGCAAGGCAGCGAGGCCGGTGCTTGGTGACCGTGCCCTGAGGGACATTTTCCCTTTGCTGTGCAGGTGGAGGAGGAAGAGCCCACCGGATACATTCGCTTCGAGAAGTTTCTTCCCGTGATGACCAAAGTACTTCTGGAGAGAAGGTCAGTAGAGCGTGACTAGCGTTGCGTTAACTTTGTTCATGTGTTTGTTTAGCGTGTGATGTTGTGGGCTGACGCTTGGACCAGGCCTGCCGGGCAGGTTCGAGCCCACACGAGCCAAGTCCCTGCCTGAGAATGACGTTAATTCCAGAACACTTGACTTTTCTTTTTGTGTTTTACGCGACCGCTGAGTGTTAATGAAGCTTCCTCTGAATCACCAGTAGTGTGTGCCTAGAAGTATCAGCCACATTGCTAGTGCGCTAAGCAAAGCACCACGAAAGGACAAAGAAGCCACAAAGTAAGGAAGACCACAACATTGTAACTGTCTCTGTTGTGAATGAACCGGTTAATCCTGGCTGGGTGGAGTGTCACAGACCTGTAACACCAGAGCCCTGGAGGCTGGGCAGGAGGGTCAAGAGCTGGAGTCTAGAAGTCAAGGGGAGGGGGGCACACCGGGACGTTAGGTTCCATGCATGTGTATGAAAATGGACCGAGGTAAATTGAGGGGAGGGGTGAGGGAGGGAGAGATTGGGGGAAGGAGGAAAGAGTACAGCTGATTAAGGATAATTTAAAGAATTCCAAAATAAACAGCTGATCTTGATCTTTAAAACAAATGTAGAGTAGCTTACCAAATTTGATTTAGGGTAGGTTTTTTAAATACGTAAATTGGTTTCTGTAATGATAATTAAAAATACTAATTGAATAGGTGTGGTGGCTTATGCCCATAAGCCAACTACCCTGGAGGTGGAGATCTAGAGGATTGCAGTCCAGGCCAGCCTGGGAAAAGAGTTAGTGAACTCCCAGCCAATAAACTGGGTGTGGACGCATGGCCGGGCCCCTGGGCTACTGCAGAGGTGCGAACTGGAGAACTGAGCTCCGGGCCTGCCTGAGCCAACAGTCAGACCTTGCGCAACCCTAACCCAAAGCATTAAAAAAAAAAATGAAGAAAAAGGGGCTGGGAAGGTGGCTCAGTGGTAGAGCGCTTGCCTTGCATGCATGAGACCCTGGGTTCGATTCCTCAGCACCACATAAGCAGAAAAAAGCTGGAAGTGGTGCTGTGGCTCAAGTGGTAGAGCGCTAGCCTTGAGCTGAAAAGCTGAGGGACATCACCCAGGCCCCACGACCAGACCCCCCCCCAAACGAGAGGAAGAAAGAAAGAAAGAAAATAAAGCTAGTATGTAACAGCAGACCTGCCAGGGATTGCATGGCAGAAAGTTCCAGAAGCGTCATGGCTCGGCGTGCTGGCGGCTTTCGTTTTGTCCCCTGTGGTCACTTGTTCGTCCAGACGGGGCTTCCTGCGGCGGCACTGATGTCTTGTGTTGTGAAATTACAGATACAGACCTGTCCCCGAGGACGTCCTCCTTCGAGCTTTTGAGGTGCGTGAGCTCCAGATTATTTGTGTGTGTGAGTAAATCCATCATGTGGAACTTACTCGCCAAGTAAAATGTACAACGTCTGCTTTTCCTTAGGCTTTAGATACAGCTAAACGCGGATTTCTTACTAGGGAAGAGCTGATCAAGCATATGACTGAAGAAGGTAAGAGTGCTTTCTTCCTTTCAGCTGTAAGGAAGGCTTCTGTTAGGGATTCATAATTTTTTATCAACAATAAATTATCAAGCACACGATTAATCATAATGTATTCAATGTTCCTATTTGGTTGTGGGGTGGTTATTTGGTAGGGGTTAAAAGGACAGGGGAGAGAAAGCAAAATGACAAGAGTAGGTCAAATGCGGATTCAGTGTATAATGTATAATGCTGTAAATTACAGCCAGCCCTGTCATCAGTGTTTCTACCTAGAAAACATGACCATCAGTCAGAATAAATCAATGCCTTTATTAGACTGGAAATTTGAATTGGAGTATGTAACACCCCTTTTTTCCTCCCTCCCCCCTTCCTTCCTTTGCTGTTATCAGGACTTGAACTCACCGGGGCTATGCTCTTGCTTAGCTGGCCTCTAGTCCAGTGCTTTTACTGGATGGGTCCTGGCTGGCTTCAAATGATGATCCTCAGATCTCAGCGTCCTGAGTAACTAAGAGTACCGGTGTGAGCCACCAGTGCTTGCCTAAAATTCCCTTTTACGAGCTTTTTAGTTGATAAAGTTACAGATAATATAACCCCACAACTGAATGTGAATTTACACAATTTGATTTTTCTGCTAGTGAAACCACATATATTAGCTTTGAATGTAGGTCTCTCTCTCTCTCTCTCTCTCTCTCTCTCTCTCACACACACACACACACACACACACAGGGGAGCTCACATTTCCTTTAGGATTTCTCCCTACCGAGGTCACTGTGCTCCTGACTCTCTGAGGCCCTTGGCACTGTCTGGAAACCATTCTTATCTTGGTCACCTCCTCCATTCTCATGCAAAGAGAAGAGGCTGTTGCCAGGAAATGGTGGCTCACACCTGTAATCCTCCTCAGGAGGCTGAGATCTGAGGATCATGATCAAAGCCAGCCCAGACAGGAAAGTCCATGAGACTCTGATCTCCAGTGAACCAGCAGAAAACGGGAAGTGGTGCTCTGGTTCCAGTGGTAGAACCCTAGCCTTAAGCTGCAGAGCTGAGGGACAGCGCCCAGGCCCAGAGTTCAAGCCCCAAGACTGACTAGAGCGAGAGTGAGTGAGTGAGTGAGACAGAGACAGAGACAGAGGCTGGGTCTCCCGTGTCTGGTGCCTGGCTCACAGAGAGCCCTGAGTGAGGAAGGCCTGATCATGTGCCAGCAGCTCACAAGTGCCAGCAATTCTGTGGGGAGGCCAGGCCTGCAGCACATGGCCACCTGGTTTGACCACTGGGACTTGATGTGCCCGTCGGAGGATGAAGCAGCCAGGATGACGGGGACCCACGGCAGTGGGAAGATGAGCGTGGGCAGGGCCTTGGGTGGGAGTGGCACAACTCGCGAAGCTCAAGCTCTTCGTCCCCGAGGATTAAAGGAAGTAGCTGGTAGATTGTATTAGGCAACACAGCCCAAATAGTTGTGTTGAACTAATATCCTGTGCCTACGTATGCTAAGTGTTTATGAGCACAGTGGTAGTGAAATCTCCCTTTGTCAGTGTTATTGGGGAAGCCAAACTAACAGATAATAGAAAAGTAAGTGTCAGAAGATCAACGCAGGCTGGACTGCCTGGAAAGCCTGGCCCTGGAGGCTCTCAGAGGAACTAGTTTTCCCTGAGAAGGCAGAATGTTTGTGGGGGGGATGGGAGGGGCTGTTGAGGGCAGGGCTCAATAATCTAATGTGGTATAGAACCTTACATGCTGTTGGTTTCAACCAGTAAATGCAGCAGATGATCAGTGAAGGATACATGCATGAATGCGTGTGTGCTTGGCTGAAAAGTGAATGAGAGGCAGAAGCCATGCAGCCGGGAAAGCAGCACAAACAAACCTGAGAGGCGGCTCGGAACTCGGGCTCAGCAGTCTGCGTGGCAGGCGGGAGCCAGAGGAGGTAGACTTACTGGGGTGACTTGTGCAGGCCTGGGCGCAGGAGTCTGGGCTCCTCCAGTGGCAGTGGAGAAGCGTAGTAGGGTTTTGAGGTGAGTCCCATGGTCGGGAGGGGCTGTGGGAAAGTATTCTGCGGGTTGTTTGTTAGACTACTGAGAGAGGTTCAACCAGGGGTGACTTCAGCATTCTGAAGAAGCCCTAATCAGGAGGGATTGAACAATGGGGCTCACAGGGGGACTCATGCCACGATGAGTAACTGAGGGACAAAGACAGGCAGCCAATAAGAAGCTTTGTGCTGGGTGGCGGTGACACCACACCTAACCGCATGCCGAAGGTGCAGCTGTGATTCCCAGGGTGGAGCCGCGCCAGCCTGTCCCACAGCTCACGGCATTCACGGCATTCCCAGGCCCGGGGCCGGCTGTCTCTGGACTGAGCAGAGAATGAGTATTTGTAGGTGAGAATAGATGTGGTTACAATGACTCAGTCAACAAATACACTTCAACATCTTCCAGGTATCTGAGCTACTTTGATAGGGATACAGAGGTTAGACAGTACTATGCAGATGTTAGGTTTAATGATTATTATTAGATGTAGCAGACCCCTGGTCCGTGAGTAATGCACTTGAAGAGTGCAGGGATTCGGTGGCTTAGGAGTTAGTGCTCATAGCCTCATAGCACAATCTGTTCACAATGTCCACAGAGCACCAGGCATGGACGTTTGAGACTGAATATGCTTTCCAATGCCCAGGAAGCCATCTGATACAACGCTGGTCACACAGCACGCGTTCCTGCGCAGCCGAGTCTGCGCAGGGCAGGGGCGGGAGTGTCACGTGGTAGTTTAGCAGCCGAGTGGCTCTCAGAACAATTTTTAAACAAATGCTCACATGTTACCATCTGTGTGTCAGGCGCTTCTGGGTGCTGCTCAAAACCAGGCAGGTTTCCTGCTGCCTGTGGCCAGCATTTGTGTCAGTCTTCTTTGTGTTGCTGTGACAAAATACTGAGGTCATGAGCACAGAGGTGGAAAGGTTTCCTGTGGCGTTTGGCCCGTGTCTCTCACCCGATTCCCTGGACGTGGGCTCACGCACAGCATCTCGGAGGGGAGCATGTGCTGGACCACAGCTGCTCCTCTTATGGAGGCCAGGGAGCAGAGGGGAGGGTGGGACAAAGATGCCCGTCCGGGTCACGCCCCTTGGCCTGCTTCCTCTAACTGGTTGGCTGGGTCCCACCCAATGGCAGCCCATGCCATTGGATTGATCCATCAGTGGACAAATCCACCACTGCACTTGGTGTCCTGGCCAGCCAGGTGTGCCCCTGCCCTCCCCCACCCCATCTCTGGACACGGCTCTCTTCAGGAACACTGCGAACCTAAGCCATGGCTGCCTTCACTGCATCTTCATTGAACGGGCAGGCGGCAGAGCAGCGGCTGGCTGGCCTGAGCACCTGATGCGGCATCCCTGAGAGGCCTGGCCCTGGAGCCTGCGCCCTCAGCGGGACGCGGCTCCCACCCATTGGTGGGAGACAGCAGGGCTGCCGGGAGCAAGGCCTTGTTCTGAGCAGTGGGGTGCGGTGCTCTGCCCAGGCCTAGATGCTGGGGAAAGGTTAAAAGTTTGAGGCAGTGACCACCACGTGTTGCTTGTTTCTGTCTAGCAAAGCAACACGTGATGATAATCAAAACACCTGGTTGATTGTGTGCCTATATAAGACCTGCAAATCCTGAGCTCGGGGCTCTCCTCCTGGGCTCTGCTGTGTAGGAGTGTAGGATGAGGCCCAAGCTGCAGCCCATTTAAATAAAACAGCTGTAGAGTCTGACTCTCGGTGGTCTTCTTGTGGGGGGGGGTCCTGCGACCTTGGCATTACACTGGCATTCTGGCCCCGGCCTCCTCAGATTTTCTGTCCAACTTTTACTTCAGTTGGTCCAACCTGGGCCACACTGCAACAAGGAGGCATTTTGTGGTTGTTGTTTGTGTGTGTGTGTGTGTGTGCTTGTGTGTGCGCGTACGTGCATGTGCGCATGTGTGTGTGTGTGTGTGTGTGTGTGGCTTGAACTCAGCACCTGGGCGCTAGCCCCAAGCTTTTGTGTGTAAGGCTAGCACTGTACCACATGAGCCGCAGCTCCTCTTCTGGCTTTTATGCTGGTTAATTGTCCATAAGAGCCTCACAGACTTTTCTGCCTAGGCTGGCTTTTTACTGGGATCCTCAGATCTCAACCTCCTGATTAGCTGTGGGTGCCTGGCCAAAGAGAAGGTTTTTTTTTTTTTTTTTAGGTATGTCATGGGGCTTGAACTCTGGCCTGGGTGCTGTCCTTCAGCTCTTCAGCTCAAGGCTAGCACTCTACCACTTAAGCATCAGCCCCACTTCCCGTTTTCTGGTGGTTTATTGGAGATAAGAGTCTCACGGACTTTCCTGGCTGGGCTGGCTCTGAACCGTGATCCTCAGATCTCAGCCTCCTGAGTAGCTAGGATGACAGGTGTGCGCTACTGGTGCCCGGCAAGGGGGAGCTTTTACAGGGCTGAGGAGTGGCTTCTGTCTGTGGGTTTAGCTCGGCCACCTGGTGGCCAGACCTGCTGAGGAGTTCTTCAGAGATGTCATGATCACAGAGGCGTCCACGGCCTGCTCTTCAGTGACTTTTCATGGTAAACATTCAGTCATCTCTCCATACCTCTGCCGAACGTAGTAATAGACTCCCTGTGAGGCTGGGGCTTTGCATTAATCTTTCAACAATTCAATCCCTTTCATTCACATAAACAGCTTTCTTCATGAGGTGTTTATTTCCCCTGCTGCTTTGACCACAGTGCTGGATTCAGTAGGTTTCTTGGTTTATGATGGTGCAGGGAAAAATGAGTCCACAACCTGCCAGAATGTGCACAGATGTGCTGGTCCCGGGGTGTGCACAGATATGCTGGCTGCACAGTTCCAGGGGCTCAGGCAGTGGTGGTCGGGCTCTGAGCTCCATGGCGCTTGGCCATTGGGTAGGAAGAGAAAAGAAAGCCTGAGACGATGATGGATGGTAAACCACCCTCTGTCTCCCTCAGGTGAGCCCTTTTCTCAAGAGGAAATGGAGGAAATGCTGTCGGCTGCAATTGATCCGGACTCCAATTCCATGAACTACAAGGACTACATAACAATGATGGTGATAGATGAATAGTAAATCTTCTGAAGATTTCAACAGCTGGGCAAAGGGACCGTTGGTCTTTGCTTATCTTACATTTTATATCATATATAAAATGCTTGGTGATGTAATTGTTCCAAGATTTTTTTGTTTTTAAATATGATTAGAATAATTTAAAATATAAATTTACTTGGTATGATCAAGTCATATGAAATGACAGATCATTATTTTAAAACAAATCTTAAAATATTCTAACACTGAAATGGATTGTTTGAAATGATTATTTTATTGTTCTTTCTTCTCCCTCCCCTCCCCGCCCCTTGCTAACTTCCTGTGCATTTCCAGTGGGTTTAATTGTGGCCCTTCCCTGCGTCGCCGCAGCAGCCGCGGTGCACTTGCCCCTCCCTGCCTCAGGTCCCCCAGCAGGGTGCCCTTCCTCCTGTGTCTTCTTGCCCTTTCCCCATTAGCTCTAAGTTCCACCCATGGGAGAAGACACGGTCATTTGTCTTTTGTGTGTGTGTGTGTGTGTGTGTGTGTACCAGTTGTGGGTCTTGAGGTCAGGACCTGTGTGCTCTCCCTGAACTCTTTTGCTCAAGGCTAGTGCTCTACTACTTTGAGCCACAGCTTCACTGCTGGTTGTTTGAGTGGTTAATTGGAGATAAGAATCTCACAGGGCTGCCTGGGCTGGCGTTGAACTGTGATTCTAGATCTCAGCCTTCTGAGTCGCTAGGATTATAGGTGTGAGCCACCAGTACCTGGCATGTTATTTGTCTTTTGAGCCTGGTTTGTTTCACTCAACATGATAATTTCCAGTTCTGTCCATTTTCCTACAGGTGGTTTCAGTTTTTCCCACTTGGTACAATGTTGGCTATGAGTCTGTCATCATATATAACTTTATTATGTTGAGGTAAGTCTCTTGTATTCCTAGTGTCTTCAGGGCGTTTATCATTAAGGCATATTGAATTTTGTTGAAAGCTTTTGGTGCATCTATTAAGATGGTTATATGATTTTTTCTTTATTCTGTTTATGTGCTGTGTTATATTAATTGATTTGCATATGTTGAACCATCCTTGCATTCTTGGACAGAAACCATCTTGATCATGGAGGATGATCTTTTGATGTGCAGTTGAATCAATCTGCAAGTACTTTATTGAGGATTTCTGCATCTGTATTCATCAAAGAAATTGGTTTATAATCTTCTTTCTTTCTTTCTTTTTTTGGGCTCTGGTCGTGGGGCCTGAACTCTGGCCCTGGGCACTGTCCCTCGGCTCTTCAGCTCAAGGCTAGCACTCTACCACTTGAGCCATAGCGCCACTTCCAGCTTTTTTCTTTTTTGCTTATGTGGTGCTGAGGAATTGAACCCAGGGCCTCAGGCATGCAAGGCAAGTGCTCTACCACTGAGCCACCTTCCTAGCCCCTATAACTTTCTTTTTTAAAAATTGTTATTATACAGGTGATATACAGAGGGGTTATAGTTACATAAGTTCGGTAGTAAGTACATTTCTGTTTGGATAATGTTCATCCCTTCCCTGACTCTCTGTTTTTCCCTTCTGTCTCCACCCACCACAAGTTGCGTAGCTCATTTTCAACATGGCATCTAGTGACTACCATTGCTGCATTTGTTCACCCTTTGTCCCTCTCTTTCTGTGTATAATTTTCTTTTTAAAAATTGTGTCCTTATAGTATTTGGACTCAGAGTAACACTGGCTTCATAGAATGAATTTGGTAGTGTTCCTCCCTTTTCTATGTTGTGGGAAAGTTTGAGAAGCATTGGTGTTAATTCTTCTTTAAAGGTCTTGTAGAATTTGTCAGTGAATCCTTTTGGTCCTGGGATATTTGTTACTGGAAGATTTTGTGTGTGTGTGTGTGCACTTGCACTCATGCCCTAACTAGAGAAAGAGTCTCATGGACTTTTTTCCCCAGTCTGGCTTCAAACTATGATCCTTAGATCTCAGCCTCCTGAGTATCTAGGATTATAGGCATAAGCCATTTACATCTTCTTGGTTCTTTTTTTTTGATGTTATATATGCCTAGAATTTTCTTCTAGATTTTGTGATTTATTAGAAAATTATTTTTTCAAAAAATGTACAGGATCCCTAACAGATAAAACAGATACCGATTGGTATCTGTTTTAACAGCCCTCTTTTCAACTCTAATATTATTAGTTTGGGTCTTCTCTTTCTTTCTTTTGGTTAGTTTGGCTAAAAGTTTATGATTCTTGTTTATCTTTTCAAGGAACCAAGGCTAATCTTATGAGGTAAGGATGCTTTTTTGGTGGGTTAACAGCATTAACACGCCAGTTTATTACGGATGTGCAGACAGAGATGGCCTACATGGAGGGAACGCGCTGCACAGAGTTTATTGCATTCGCTCACCTGACCTGTGCAGCGATGGCTCACACACTTGGGGGAGCCGGGGTGTGTTTTCCCCTAAAAGTCACAGTTGAGCATTTGGAAGGAGCTGTTGACTTCGTGCCTGATGACCCAAAGTAGCTGTGGCCTGCATGTCACACACGGCCTTCGGTCAGTGGCCTCAGAGTCCGCGTCCCTTCCTCATGGGACCGAGAGTCTGTCCATGGATAATCTGGCAAAGACACCGACAGTCATGAGACACTGGGGGTGGGGCCAGGTGGAGGCCCATGTGCAGAGGCCTGTGTGTGGAGGCCTGTGTGCAGAGGCCCATGTGTGGAGGCCGTGTGCAGAGGGCCATGTGCCGAGGATGTGGGGTTAAAAGGACAGTTTGGGTTAGCTCTAAAAACGACAACAGAAAACCAAGTAAACACGTAAGGTAATCAGCTGGACATAGTTTGACAGGTTAATATATTTAAATGAATGTATATTTAAAAAAGAAAACTCACACAAGTTAGATTTGCTAACTTGAATTTCTAAGTCTTCCATTTTCAGTTCGGTCATTCCGCAGTGTACGTAAGTCACCGTGAACTGGATGTGGATTATAAGCATAGAAATGTGAGGTGATGTCTGCAGTATCCAGGGTTAAGCAATTCCGATTTCGTTTTGTCTTGTCTTCTTAAGGAAGTTGTCCCCGAGTGGCCTAGGCCGATCTTGCCTCTGCCCTGGAGCTGGGGCTGCAGGTTTGTACCACCATGCTCAGCTCCTTCCAAAGCGGTTCTTCATCCAGAAATGAAGAGTTCTCATGACAGGTGCGGTGGCGTTATTTGTAAGCAGTGTGAGCATGGGTGGTCGCAGGCTGGCAGCGCCTGGGCTCCCGCGGGCGGCCTCCCGGCCCCTTGCCCAGCCCGGCCTTCACCTTGCTCCGCAGCTCAGCACTGCATCCCCGGCTCCTGGCTGCCGGCACCGGCCAGCGCGTCTTCCCAGGCTTCGGGAAGGGTCACCTAAGAGTCTGTGTAATGTAACCCTTACCACAGCAGGTGAGTGGGCTAAATGGAGGGCAGCTCTGTCCTAAGGAAACGGAGGCTCAGAGAGCACAAAGCTCGCAGAGGCGGGGCGGCTTTGACCCAGGTCTCCACTGAGACACGGAAGAGGAGAGATGAGACGGGCCAGGCAGGTCTCCCCCCCCCCCCCCCCGCCCCCCCGCCTCTCCTGCCATCTCCACAGCCTCTGCCCCTCTCTGTACCTGCTTTCTTTTCTTTTTCTTTTTTTTGGCGGGGGGGGGGTTCCAGATGTGGGGCCTGAACTCTGGGCCTGGGCGCTGTCCCTCAGCTCTTCAGCTCAAGGCTAGGACTCTATCTACCACTTGAGCCACAGCGCCACTTCTGGCTTTTTTCTTTTTGCTTATGTGGTGCTGGGGAATTGAACCCAGGGCCTCATGCATGCAAGGCAAACGCTCTACCACTGAGCCACCTCCCCAGCCCCGGTCCTTTATTTTATAGTGGTGTTACCTCTGGCCTGCTTCCTTCTGCAGCTGACCTTCCTCGCTCACCAGCCCCACGTATACCCTCCGGCCACCTCTGCTAACTTGCTATGTGGCCTTCAATAGCCACTAAAATTAGAATTCAGTGGAATCAAAAGTAACTTTCCTTGAGTCAGTGCTGCTGGCTCACGCCTATAATCCTAGCTACACAGGGGGCTGAGAGCTGAGGATCACTACTTGAAGCCAGCCTGGGCCAGCAAGTTTGAGAAACTCTTCACTTAACCCCAAAAGCCAGAAGTGGAGGTGTGGTTCAAGAGGTAGAGTGCTGGCCTTGAGCAAAAGAAGCTCAGGGACAACACCCAGGCTCTGAATTCAACCCCCCAGTACTGGTGTGCGTGTATATGCACATGCACGTGTACTGTCTTCATACCATGCACATGAATACTGGAGGGTGAAATTTCTTCAGTAGGACAAGAGTCGCTTGGGGTTTTCCTGGCATCTCGTGCTGTGTGGGGAGCAGGAGCAGAGAAATTCTGGGTCCTCACAGAAGTCCAGCTGATGCCGAGCACCTTCCCCCACTCAGGCTGCCCCGAGGCCAAGGCCTTCGCTCAAACCAAAAGACACTCCATGCACGACTTCTTCCGTCTGTGCAAAGTGACCCAGTGAACGAACGCGCCAAGAACTCTTCAGCTCCGGAGCACGTTCATGGGGGGGAGGGGTGCTGTGCTGTGTGGGGCGGATGACACCCTCCTGGGAGCCATCCCTACCATCTACAGGAAGTTGCCAAAGAGGTGTGGACACATCTACCATACAAGAGGAGGAAGGGAGCTCCTCAGAAGAACTTCCACCTGCTCCGCTGCCCTGCGCAGGTCCCAGAGCACAGCGAAGATGACTTAGCTTTTCAAATAAACACACATGAGCGCGAGCAACTTCACCATAACCTGGCTTCCGCCTCAGATCGCCAGGTCAGCTAGTAAATAAAGACCCAAGGACGCACACTCCGCTGCTGACAATGAACGGTGGAATTGCTTTTGGGCAACAGGAGAGCAGGAAAGAGCAACCAAGACACCCGGAAGGCAGCAGGAGTTCTTCCCCTGGGTGCAGGGCGTGGGTCTGGTGCCAGGGAACCTGCAGGGCTGGAGAGTGTGCCAGCTACTGCCACCTGCTGGCCACAGGGCAAAGTGTTGGATGGTTAAAAAGAGTCACCTCCTCCACCACCACCTCCACCACCACCACCACCGCTGCTGCTGTCACCGCCTCCTCCTCCTCCTCCTCCTGAGTCGTCTGCAAGCAGAGGAGGCTGGCTGTCCAGTGCCTTGAGCCTTCCGGGCCTGGCT